AGTCTAACCCTTCAGTTCTGAAAACACAGTGTCAGCTTTCTACTCCCTCAGAGTTGTTGCAAGTAAAATCAATACAGAATTAGCATTAATATTCCAAATGATATGCCACCCAGATGTGGCTGACTGCTTAGCCCAGCCTTGTGAGCTCAGACAAGTCACTTAGGCTCAGTTCTCAAATGCAAAGTGGAATCAAGACAGTTTCTCTGCATGAGATGACAGGTGTGAAGTATTTACTGGCTGTAGTAGTTGCTCAGTAAACTGGTCCTTTGGGCTGCTTTTGCTACTAGTTCAGGGGTGTGTGACCACAGCTAGTGGTCTAGCATTAGTGAACCTGTGTTCTAGTTTGCTTTCTGTTGCTGTAATTAAAACACTGACCAAAACCAGGGGCTGGAGAAATGGCTCACTCACCTGGGGGAGGAAAGGGTTTATTTCATCTTACCCTTTCAAGGCACAGTCCATCTTTGAGGGAAGTCGGGGCAGGAACTTAAGGCAGGAACCTGGAAGCCAGAACTGAAGCAGAGACCAGAGGCTTACTGACTTGCTCCCCCTGGCTTGCTCAGCTACCTTTCTTTTAAAAAATATTTATTATTTTTATTTTATGTGTATGAGTACTTTGCATGTTTGTAAGTGTACCACATGTGTGCACTGCCCATGGAGCTCAGAACAGGGCGTCGGATCCCCTGGAACTGAAGTTATGGACATTTATTAGCTGCCATGTGAGTGCTGGGACTCAAACTCTAGTCCTTTGCAAGAGCAGTTGTGCTCTTAACCACTGAGCAATCTCTCCAGCCCCTTAGCGACCTTTCCTATAGAGCCTAAGCTCACTGCCCAGGGATGGTATCACTCACAGTGAGCTGGTTCCTCCAACTAGCAATCAAGAAAATGGCTCAAGACATGCCCATGTGCCATTCTGATGAAGACAATCCTCAGTTGAGGTTTCCTCTTCCCAGGTGACTCAGGCTTGGGTTAAGTTGACAAAAACCTCTCAGCAGAGCCTGTAGCAGTTAGGGTAACACAGGTTCAGGAGACTCTCAGTCATTTTTGTTGTCATTTTGTTTCTTTGGCACAGGGTCTCATGTATCCCAGGCTGGTCTCAAACTCACTATGCAGCAGAGGATGGCCTGAAATTCTGATCCTTCTAGGATTACAGGCGTGCACCACCACACGTCATACATCCCCCAGACATTGGCACTGGGAGACCCAGGTCCCTGGGAGGGTCCTGTAGATGGGAGGGTCCCTGCAGATGGCAGAATCTTTGCAGATGGAAGTCCCCCATAAGTGGTTCTGTTCTTGTGGTCTTCCTGGGGCAGAGACAGCTTCTTCATGCCCCCCCTGACACCACCATTCTCTACGTCCCCCCATGTGGCCACCATGGGTGGTGGCCGCTCCTCCATTCGCACGGGTGCCACTCCTTTGTTCTCATGGGCACCGCGGCTGCTCCTCCGCTCGCCTTGGGCTGTGGCCACTCTCCTGCCTGCCTGGCACTGAGGCCGCTCTTCTGCTCGCCTGGATCGTTGCCTCTTCTGCCCAGTTCCGGACCCCAGGGCTGGTGAGGAGACTCTGTCAGCAGAGCTGCATTCAGACACAGGAGACCAGGTTCAGTGACACAGATCCATTTTATTGCAAGAAGGCACAAGCTTATATAGGGGTATCAGTCCAATCATACTACAGCAAGTAGGATACCTTATTAGCATAAAAGGCTTAGTGTCCTATCACAGTATAGCGGGCCAGATGCCTCATTAGCATAATGGTTTCAGATTACAGAGTCTGGATTCCTGGAAACCAGTGACCCTGACTGTTGCAATATCTAAGTGTTGCAATTTGGAATTCCAAGGGTGGTGATTAGGGCATGGCGAGCTCTAGGCATCAGTCTCATGATCTGCCAATGGGAGTAGATGTCACAAGGCCTTCCTTGTGGCTCCAGAGCTGTTGCCTCAGGCCTGCTGTATGGCTGTCATTAAGACTTTCACCCTAGGCTCAAGCCTGTCTTCCCCCTGACCCCACACACACTTATACTGTGGTCCAGTGTTTCCAAGTTTCACCAGGTCTATACCTCCTGTCAGATCTGTGATCCCCAGAACACTTCCATCCCTGGAGTCAGGAGAATCCAAAGGTCTCTCTCAGCTACAGAGAAATGTGATCCCCCATTCTCACCACATGGAGGTCTAATGTAGGCCCTACAGTGGGCTCCCCACCTTCAGAAATCTCTGATCTGAAAAGCACCCAAGCCACTCTCTAACTCCAAGCGTCCACCCCCCCTATAGTTGATGTGGCTCAATTCCACCCCTCAGTACTTGTGGCTCTCATCTCCTCTTACTATGGGGATTTCCCTCCCTGCCCTTTGACTTTGGTCAGAGTAAGACAAGTGGGCTGGTACCATCTCACACTTGTCTTCTGTCATTGTCTTGAGAAGAATGTGCCTGGAGATCCCACAGGTCCTGAGGGGTGAGTGAAAGACATGGGGAAAAGCTGACCACCGTGGCCCAGGCTAGCCCAGATTGCCAACACTAGCCAACCGCAGATACTCAAGAGCCCCTCCCTTGCCCACCAGATGAACCAGCCAAGTTGAGATCAGCAGACCTCAGCCCACCAACAGGTGAGGCCCAGGGAACAACCGGAAGCACATGGCTCTGGCTGATGTAACATGTGATTGACCATGGGTGGCTGATGCACCTGTTATCTTCACACAGAGAGAAGGATTGCAGTGAAATGCACCGTGTACTTCTCTAGCTGCTGGGGACACTGCCAGCTCTCTTTGGACTGGCCGTCGAATTATCAGATCCCCTGTCTGCATGAGCTGTCTTTCTGTCATGTTCATGGGAAACAGCTCAAGGCCGTTTCAGAGGACTGTGTCCTTCTGTAGTCACTTGACTCCATGTGACTTGGGAAGAACATCATGGCAGCGGGAACATGTGACCAGCAGGAAGCAAAGCGTGAGAGGGGGTGGCCAGGGACAATATATCCCAAAGGCCCTGACAACTCGCTTTCTCCAGCTTGGCTCCACCTAAATTTTCAGAATTATCCACGATAGTGCGACCGTGTAGGGACCAAGCACTCGAATCATAAGCCTAGGGGGTGAGAGGTTATACATTTGAAACACAGCCTCTTCTACACCAGTACCCCCAACCCAGTCTTTCATGCAGCTGTCACAGAACTGTTTGAATGTGTCCCCCAGGTTCCTGTGCTGGAGCTGCAGTGTTGAGAGGCATGACCTCTGGGGGGCAGTCAGGTGAGGAGGGCCCTGCCCTGTCAATGAACCAATGATCTGATAGGGGAGTGAATCTGTTATTACAAGCAGGTTTGTTATGGAAGTGCGTTTCACCAGGCATGGTGGCTCCCAGCATTTGGGAGACTGAAGCAAGAGGATCACGCGTATGTACGTAGTCTAAACTGCTTAGTGAAAGCCTGTCTTATAAGAACAAGGGCTGAGGGATGTGGCTGAGTGGTAGAGTACTGTTCTAGTACAAGGCCCTGGGATTGACCCCCAGCACCTGAAATGAAGTGAGGCCCTCAGGGCTAGAGAGACAACTCCTCGGTTAGGAGCACTGGCTGTTCTTGCAGAAGACCTAATCAAATCCCAGGATCCACACGGTGGCTAACATCTGTCCGCAACTCCAGTTCCAGGGGATCTGATGCCCTCTTCTGTCCTCCATGGGTGCACTTACACACATGTTGGCTTAACACTCATATACATAAAATAAAAATAATAAAAGTAAAATTTTAAAAAAGGCCCTCATCCTGGTCCCTCCTCCTCCCCACCCTCTGCCTTCTGCCACAGGATGATGCAAGTTGGAGGCCCTTTCCAGGTGCCACATACCTGATTTTGGGCTTCCCGCCTCTAAAACTATGAGAAATAGATCTGTTTTCTGAAAATAGCCCAGTCTCAAGTATAGCAGCACAAAATGGACCATTTAGAATGTGGGGAACCTGACAGCATCTGTCCTCAGCTTTGGACCACTGCTGCCAAGAGGGAGAAAAATGCAGTACACACTGGGATACAATAGTGGACAGGACAGCCTGGCCCTGTCCTGTAGCTGGTGTGCTAGTAGAACAGACAGAACAGGCAGTTCATGAATGCACTTGTCCATTTCTGTTACTATCTGAGGTTGGGCAATATATAAAGAAAAGATGTTTATTTAACTCATAGTTTGGGAGGCTGAAAGCCCAAAAGGGAGGGCACAAACTCTGGTGAGGAAGGGCCCAGCTGGCTGTATTCCACCATGCCTAAAGGCATCACCGTAGGAGCATGATCAGCTGGTATGATTGAGAATGGATGCTTCCAGTATAGCTAGAATGGAGAGGGTGAGGTAGTGGACCTGTGGCAGGGCTCCCTTGCCTTGCTGGGAGGGGATCTCAGCCCTTTCCTTCAACAGCCTTGCTGGGGCTTACATGCTCCCCAATCCAAGTCAGGCAGCCCAGAAGCCCTCAAGCTCCTGGGTCTACTTGGGAAGCAATGGACAGGGTGGTGACTCATAGGGATGTGGTGGCCCTGGCTGGCCTGATGTGGCTGTACATGTTTTTACCAGATGCCTGCTGAAGTTCCATGGTGGAGGTGATGTCCCCATGATGGCTGTCCTTAGAAATCAACAGGCGTGTCAGCCAGCCCCTCCCCAGCAGCTCCCAAGCCTCCTGGGACTGCAGGGAGGACATCTGTTCTTCAGTCTACTCCAAGCTCCATTTCTGTTCAGCCCACTGACCTCCGGAAGTTCTGTGAGGAGGAAGTGATGAGGTGGAGGCCCATGAAATGACTTAAGGCTCTTTCCTGAGCTGGAGTCCCAGCTCTGCAGCCTCTTCCCCACATGACCTATTCAAGTGACCTCAGAATAAGCTAGGCATGGTGGTACATACCTGTATCCCTAGCAGTGGGCAGGCTGAGGCAGGAGGATCACAAGTTGGAGGCTTGCCTGGACTGTATAGTAAGTTATAAGAGAAACTGGGCTACATAGCGAAATCTTGTCTCAAACAACAAAAAAAATATAATAAATAACCTATTTTTTTTTTAAAGGAGAGAATGAACACACTCCCTAACTACCACATATTATGCAGCTGAGTTTCTCTCATTTGGGGGTATCACAGAGGTCAGCACTCAGAGTGCAATAAATGAACCTTGCCCTGGAAAACCACCTTTGTGATTATGGTGTCTCCTGTGCCATCTAAGTATAAAAATATAAGTCACCAGCTGAGGAAAAGGCAAACTTTTCTGTGTCCTCACAGTCAGCACCTAACATTTTCGTATCCCATATGTGGGGACTCCACGCTGACACCTGAAGTTATGGGGGATCTCTGTGGGTGTTTTATCACCCATGCAAGCCTGCCGATATTGCTGGACTCAGCACCAGATCCCAAAGGCTAAGGGCTCAGTCACGTGCCTGCCTCCTACTTTGGATGCCAGTTGCAAGTCCCAGCTTGCGATCTGCACTCCTTACCCACCAGGGGTCAGGGGTTCCCACACCCCTGTTCACATTGATTAGCTGGCCTTCAGTGCTGAGCTGAAGTGAATGTCTCACCAACACCTGCCTGTTTGTCATAAGGGATGCAGGAAAATCTCTGGTGACAGAGATGGGCAGGTAGAGTCTTTAGGGTCTTTTATGTATAAAATCATATCATCTGAGGACAAGGGTACTTTGACTTCTTCCTTTCCTGTCTGTAACTCCTTTGTCTCCTTGTCTTACTAAGGCTTTAAGCATCATATTGAATAGGAGTGGAGAGAGCAGGCATCCTTGTCTTGTTCCCGATTTTAGTGGAAATGCTTTGAGGTTTTCTCCATTTAGTATATTGTTGGCTGTGGGCTTGCTGTAGGTTGCCTTTATTATGTTGAGATATGTGCCCTCTATCCATAGATTCTCCACAACTTTTATCATGAAGGGGTGTTGGATTTTGTCAGAGGCCTTTTCTGTATCTAATGAGATGATCATGTTGTTTCTGTTCTTGAGTCTGTTTATGTGGTGGATTAGATTTATTGATTTGTGTATGTTGAACCATCCCTGCATCTCTGGGAAGGAGCTGTCTTGATCATGGTGGATGATATTTTTGATGTACACTTGAATTTGTTTTGCAAGTATTTTATTAAGAATTTAAAAATATTTATTATTTTCATTTTATGTGTATGAGTCTATTGCCTGCATGTATATAAGTGCACCTGTATCACGGAGTGCCCTCAGGGGTCAGAAGAGGGCTTTGGATCCCCTGGAGCTGGAGTTATGGATGGTTGTTAGCCACCATGTGGGTGCTGGGAATTGAACCCGGGTCTTCTGCAAGAGCAGTCAGGGCTCTAACCGCTGAGCCCTCTTTCTAGCCTCTGTTGAGAATTGTGTGTGTGTTCATTAGGGAAATTGGTCTTTAATTTTCTATTTGTGGTATCTTTGCCTTACAATAGGCCTCAGTGTAATGCTGACCTTGTAAGAATTGGAAGCTTTCTTTCCTGTACTACTCTGTGGAATAGTCTGGTTTTAATTCTTCTTCCTTATAGGTCTGGGAGAATTCTATAATAAATCCATCTGGGCCTGGGCTATTTTTTTTTTTTTTTGCCTGCGAGATTTTTAGTACTGCTGCGTCAAACTCATTGCTTGTGATGGATCTGTTTACTGTTTTTCAGTCTTTTCTTGGCTTAGCTTTGGCATATTATAGGCATTAAGAAATTTCTCCATTTTTCAGATTTTCCAACATGGTAGAATAAAGATTTTTGAAGTATTGTCCTCATGATCCTCTGGATGCTGTTGGGATTTGTGGTAATAGCTCCTTGAGGCTTCGCTCTGCATGCACAAGACCTGTACCAGATCAGGCCAGACAAAATCCCACCATGCATGCTCAGGAAGTCCCACCCCTATCCTAGGAGCTTTGGTAATTGATGACTTTGGGAGGAGGGAGAGTCAGTTTTCTTAAAGGATGCAGCCCCTGAGAGGCTCCCCATGCTCCAGGAGATACGGCCCCTGAGAGGCCCCCCACGCTCCTGGAGATGTGGCCCCTGAGAGGCTCCCCATGCTCCAGGAGATGACCCTTCACCCATGCTCATACTGGCAGCACTAAATGGACTCTGAGTTTACCAAACAGAGCAGACAAAGTTGGGAGGGTAGTGGGGTGGATAAAGGAGGACATGGGGAGGGCATGGGGATGGGTTTGATCAAAACACATTCAATCCATCTATGAAATTCTCAAACAGTAAAATTAAAGATGGGCAAGGGAAGGCCAGAAGGAGGGCAGGGAGACTGCCTGCAAGCACCTCCACTCAGCATCCTGGAAGCCCTTGGGACACTGTTCTTTGGGGACTGTATGGTGACTCTCTTACTCAGACATGAGTAATGAAGTGACCAATGCCAGCCCCTCTGGCTCCCCAGAGGTCAGGGATGGGGTGGCTTGAAGGATCTAACACTCTGATCACATGGTTGGTCCCTGGCCACCCAGGTGTCTAAAATTCCCCTCATCAGAGAAGGATACGTACATCCAGAGACATTCAAAGGGACCAGAAGTTCTGTCAGGAGGTGTGTCAGAGACCAAACAGGAAGCCAAAGCTCTCTGAGTACCCCAGCTATGATTTAGCCAACAGCTGGGGCAGAAATTTATTTTTTTGATGTCTTTTATTTTATTTTATTTTATTTTATGTATATGAATGTTTTGCCTGCATGCATGTAATGCCTGAGGAGGCCAGAAGAGGGCGTCAGATCCCCTGGAACTGGAGTTTTGGATGGTTGTTAGCCAACATGTGGGTGGATACTGGGAACTGAACCTGGGTCCTCTGTAAGAGCAGCCAGTGTTCTTAACCACTGGGCCATCTCTTCAGGCCTGGGAGTGGAGATTTCTAATGGGGTGTATTTCTTGTGTCACAACGTCCTAAGCGTCCAGGGGAGGGGACCAGGTGAGGCTTTCCACAGGGAGCATGGACACGCAATATGCCTCTGTAGAGTTGATCTTTCCTGTTACATAAGACAGACTTGCGGGATACAGCCACTCCATCTCCCTTACAGCACTCTCACTCCCATACAGCGGCCTGGGCACTTACTGTCCCTTTCTTCTTGCTGTAGGATTCCTCCCCATCCCCAGGGGCTCCCTCCTACACTCCCCTTCTTTGAGGTGTCAGCTCAGAGATGTGTAGACAGCTGCCCCTCCTTTCCGCATCCTCCCTCTGCTTTCATTTTTCTCACAGCTCTTGCCAGCTCCTGGCCTGCTGCTTATTTTCAGTGGAGAGTATATTCATCAGCTTTTTGTTGCAGTGACAAAATACCTGAGATAATCAGCTTAAAAAGAGAAATGGTTTGTCTTGGCTCACCGTTTGAGAGTTTTCAGTCGTTGGTTACCTGGTGCTGTTGCCTTGGTCTGAGACTAGTTACCTCATATCAGCGGGGAGGCAAAAATAGACGGGAAGAGGCGGGGCTCCAGATGTGTCCTTGACAGCTCTCTCAGTGTCTTGATTTCTCTGCTAGGCACCACTTTGCCCACAGTGCCCACAGACTGGGGACCATGTCTAGCACATTGCCCTAGGGGACATTCAAGATCCAAACAACAGCAGTGGGGATGACATTTCTTCCTTTGAAGGAAGAGAGTTGCTGGGTGAGAGGTGTACACCTGTAATCCCAACATCCGGGAAGCTGAGTCAGGGGGATCATGAGGCCAGCCTGGGTTACATAGCAGATTCCAGACCTGCTTGGGCTACAGAGTGAGAGTAAGACCCTGTTTCAAAACGAGAACAGAAAAACAAACAATAACCAAACCAAAAAGAATGAACTCTTCTAGAAAGTAGGACTGCACCCATCGTAGACTGAATGGTGGCTCCCCTCCCCCAAACATGTCTCCTTCCTGGAACCCGTGTTTGATCTTGTTTAAAACGAATCCAAACATGAGATCATCCTGGGTCACCCAGGGTGACTTCGGTACAGTGACAAGTGTCTTTCAAAGAGACACACAGGGGCTGGGACTGGATTCTGTTGGTGGGCACTTGTCTAGCCTGTACAAAAGCCTGGGTTCCACCCCCAGTGCCTGCATGAACTGGCTGTGGTGGTGCATACCTGTAATCTCAACACTTGGGAGGTGGAGGCACAGGGATCAGAAGTTCCAGGGCCTCCTCAGCTACATAGTGACTCTGCTATTCACATTCATTCCAAAGATGACACCCAGAGGAGGGACACCTGAAGAAGACAGAGACAGAAGCTGAAGTGGCACAGCCACAAGCCAGCCAATGCCTTACAAGCCTGTGGAGGGAGGGTGACCTGGGTGCCTTGATATTATTATTTGATTCCCAGTTTACAGAATCTCATGAGGGAACACAGTTCTGTTGTAAGTAACGGTTCCAGCACCCCTAGGCAGCAAAGACACCCCTGTGTCACCAACACCTGGAAATTGCCCTGGAGTGAGTCTGTGCAGGCGACAGTACTCTTCCTCCTGGACCTTTGCAGATTGTGTTTGTGTCACAACCACTCAACCTGGCCACTGAATGTTGAACACTACCACAGAAAACATGCATTAAGTGACTGCGTTCTGATACAACTTTACTCACAGACACCACCATTTGAATTTCCTATAATTTTCACTGGACACAAAATGTGATTCTTATTTTGCCTTTTTTCTTAGGGCGGAGGGATCTTTTCAGACAGGGTCTCCCTGTAGACCCAGCTGGCCTGGTCACTATGTAGACCAGGCTGGCCTTGAGCTCAGAGATCCGCCTACCTCTGCCTCCCGAGTGCTGGGATTAAAGGTGTATGCCATCATGCCCACTTATTTTGCCTTTTTAAAACTATTAAAAAATGTAAAAGCTGGAACTCAGAGAGATGGTTCTGTAGTTAAGAGCACTGTCTACTCTTGCAGAGGACCTGGGTTCAGTTTCCAACACCTATATGGTGGCTAACAACTGTTGGTGACTCCAGTCCCAGAGGATCTGGTGCCCTCCTCTGGCCTCTATGGACATTGCAAGACATGGTAGACATACACACAGGCAAGACATTCAAACACATAAAAATAAAAATAGATAAATAAAAAAAAAATTAATGAAAAAGTTTTTAGCTCACAGGTGGAACACAGCAAGTAGTGGGTAAGATTTGACCCACAGCGCTGTTTGCCACCTCCTGGGCAGATGCCAGGTCCTGTAGCTCATAGCAGGAGTCAGCCATTTGCAAACCAAATTCCTGAAAATTTCAACAGACTCCAAGGCTGAGCCCATAAACCTGCCACTGG